TCATCGATTCTTGGTTGATACACAGAAGACTCCTTCGGTTTGCAAAAGTTTATAACTTATAAAGGTAATAACTAAAATACAGGATAGAGCAATTTTCACAGAATTCAAACAGAAAGACTGTTAAATAAAGTACTGTCTCGATAAATTAAGTAGTTTAGACTCAGTAGTTTCTGAACATACTATAAGAGGAGAATATATTTGTTAACTTCGTATGTCTGACAGGTTTGTCAGATAATTTGTTTCTTCAAACTATTCATGTTGATGAGACTACAAAGAAAAGGCAAAATATATTTTTTTCAGAATGCTTTTGTTAAAACCTGATAAAGAGAAAAACTGTTAAAATTATGCTGCATAAATTTTAATATTGTCATTGTCGCCTGGTTAACTAGTTCACTAGTTACTTGCCAGTCCTAAGCCCGGGTAAACAAGGAAGATTGGGCGTAGGGTTAGCAATTCTAATCTGTAAAACAAATCCACACTCTAAAGAAACTTCAAAGCACAAACAAAATATAAAAAAATAAAAACAAAATTATTCCTCACTGGAATGGGAGAGACGAAATGACGCCGGTTGGTGAAAGCCTTCACAAAGCCAATTGGCCCATGTGTCTTCGCTCCTCTCAACGAAAGCAAGTGCAAATGTGTGGACATGGAATGTTCACACTATGTTTGAAGATGGCTTGCGAGGCTGCCCAGATTGCAAAACAGATAAGAAGGTAAAGCACTGAAGTGGTAGGAATTTGAGAAAGCAGATGGAATGGAAGTGGACTCTCCAAACTCTCAACTGGAGAGTCAATAATCTACTCCAATATTGTCACCCAGACAACAACCATGAACACACTGGGTTTCCGAGTGCCTATCATGATGTCAACAAGAGCATCGAAGGCTCTCATGCAGTGGGAACCAATCTCCTCAACGATCAGGATCATGACAGCAAGATTCAACTCAAAAGGAAGGAAAGTCACAATCATTCAATGCTACGCTACGCGCCAACAATCAATGCAGATGAAGAGAAGAAGGAGGAATTCTACAGACAACTGCAATCAACACTGGACAAGACTTCACATGGGTTGGCAATATCAAAATTCCAATGGGTGGGTTGACATGAATGCCAAACTGGGAGGGGACAACACAGTCATAGAAGTGACCATGGGTCGAGAATCACTCGGTGAAATGAATGAGAAGGGTGAACTGTTTGCAGAATTCTGCACATTCAACGATTTGGTGATTGGAGGCAGTGTGTTAAGCACAAGTATGCATCCACAAAGCGATATGGATTTCACCAGACACCAGGACACACTAAAAATCAGATCGACTTCATATCAGTGTGAAGAAAGTGGAGACGCAGCCCACTCCACACAAGGTCAAGAAGAGGAGCAGATTTAGATTCACATCACTCACTATCTTGTGTAAGGAACTTACTTTCAAAACTGAATTGAAGGCATCAAAGAAGTTGGTGATAGACCACAGTTCAAGTGCAACATCCACCCGGAGTGGAAACTGAAGGACGAAACTACAAAGGATATCTTCACGTCAACCATCAAGACAAAATGGGAGACAGAAAGTAGCATCCTTGAGGAAACCTGTGTGGATGAACACTAAAACTGTTTGAAAGCTGTGTGGAAAGAAACCTGTATAGCCGTATTAGGAAGGGAGAAGAAAGAAGACAAGACAAGGAATGGATCTCTACGGACACATGGAAGTTGACAGAGCAGGGAGAGGAGGATGGTGAAGCAGAAGATAAACCAGTGCAGTGCAAGGATGAACAACGAAAAGATGAACTGAGTACAACGTACAAAACACTACACTGGAGAAAGAAGTGAAGAAGAGTGCGCTCAAAGACAAAAGACACTTCCACAACACACTGGCAAGTGAAACATAACAGGCTGCAGGTAGGAGAGACCTGACAACATTGCATCAAATAACTAGGTTACTATCTGGGAGTAGAGAGGTCAACATATATGAAAATAATGCAAGATGATGAAGGAAATCTAATTACCAAAGAAGAGAAACAGAGGAAACGATGGACTGACCACTTCAAAATGCTCTTGAATCAACCACCACCACAAACTACACTTCGTCCACAAATACGAAACTGCAGCCCAATCACAGAACTACCAGTGAACATAAGTCCCCCGACGGAATTCGATGTCCTGAACGCCATAAAGCTACTGAAATGCGGGAAAGCATCAGGATCAGATGGAATTCCGTCAGAAGCACTGAGAACAGAAGCAGAGACAACAGTGAACATGCTCACACCACTATTGTAGAAGCTCTGAAATGAAGGAAGAGAAGATACCTGCCCATTGATTGTAAGAAAGGCTACCTTGTCGAACTTCCGATAAGGGCGACCTAAGCTAAGTCTTTGCAAGAACTTGCGAGGAATCGTGCTCCACTCCTGTCCTCCCCGATCAAAGTATTATGCCGCATCATCCTGGAGAGTCTAAAATATGCGCTGGATTCAAAACTACGACCGGAACAGGCAGGCTGGATTGAGGAAGAACAAATCAACTTCCGATCAAATTGAAGCGATAGACTACACATCGTCATAGAACAGAGTACAGAATGGCAGTCAACTTTGTACCTCAACTCAACTTCATCGGCTTTGATAAGACCTACAAAAGCGTCGACCGAGAAGTAATTTGGCAACTGCTTCAACACTATGGAGCACCACAAGCCTTTATCAACCTCATTCAACAGCTAAATTAAGACGCCACATGCTGTGATTCACGTTAGGAGGCTCAGTGATGCTTTTGAAGTGAAGACAGGAGTAAGACAAGGCTGTCTACTATCAAAGATGATCTTCCTGAATGGGGTGGACAGGATCGTGCAACAAACTGTGAGGAGGGAGAAGAGGGGGATACGCTGTACTGGGGAAATAATCCCAGAAGATTGGGATTTCACATATGCCTTGTTTCTAATGTCTCACAAACTCGAAGAGCTACAGGCGAAAACTAATAAGTTGATAGAAGAGGTAGGGCATCGAAGACGGGACTTCAAGTGAATGTGGAGAAGATAGAGGTGATGAAGATACACAAACAACGCCACTAACAACAGCAACAACAAGCTCCAATCACCATCAACGAGAGAAACTTAAGGGAAGTAGTATTTTTTCGCCTATCCTGGGCAGCATCGTTTCAGACGACGAGGATGTAAAAGCAGCCAGGATCGGAAAGAAAGCAAGACTAGCCTTCCTTAATTATCCTGAAATCAGTCTGCAGATCTGCTGCAGTCAGCACAAAGCGTGAACAACATCCGGATTTTCAACACCAATGTCAACTCACTGCTTCCATATGGTTTACAGACTTGGCGTGCCATGAGAAGCATTTCCAACAAATCACAGACATTCATCAACAACTGCCCACGCTCGCTCGTTACTGAAGCTCAGATGGCTAGAATAATGAGAATAAGCAACAAGGAACTCTGGTGTGACAACGAACCAACCAACAACCCATTGCTCAACAAATACGCAGAAGTAGGTGGAGGTGGATTGGGTATACATTGAGAAGACCATTCGGTGACATGATGCGCCAGGTCAGGCCAGGCCATCGAGTTGAACCCGAAAGGGAAGCGACGAGTTTGGTGTCGCAGGTGAGGGTGACATGGAGGAGATGGTGTGAGAAAGAAATGAGAGTTTGTGAGCAGTCGTGGAGCCAAGTTTAAAAGATTGTAGAGAAGAGATTGAAACGGAGACGTGCTTCTGAAGCCCTATGTTCCATTAAGAACGCAAGGGATAAATAATATATGATAATCATATACACAGTTCTGCCTGTTAAATCAGTATCAAATAAAATAACAAAATTTTATCTGCTTTTCATCTGAGATTTATCTATTAATTTATCTATTTAATTTAATTTATCTAATAATTTACTACAGTATTAAAACTATAATATGCTTATCACATTTAGCAAGTAGCCTAGAGAAACAGATACTACTATTCTCATCACTATAAAGCTACTCTATGTATTCGAATCATAATCGGTATGCATGAAGATTTTACAATAGTTTCGGCATAATTTTCTACAATTTGCAAATTAAAATCAAGGATAAGCCGTATTAAGCAAATTCAGTTAATTTTGATATTTTGATATGGTCTAAGAAAGTAGTTTTCTGTTGAATGAAACGACAATGCCAACAATTCAATTTAAAACCTACATAGAAGTAAAATATCACATAAGGATCTTTAATTATTTTTTCTACAGTTTTCAGCAAGATGTATTTGTGCAAGTGGATGACAGAGGATATTTTTGGAACTCCATCTGAAGTACTCTGAACCTAAAGATTGGTTCCGCAAAGGATAATTAATACGAATTTACATCTAGCAGAAATATATCATTCAACTTCAACAGATGGATACATAACTCAATGGATCAACTCTTAATTCTATGTAGTACATAATTCTCGAAAATTATTAGTATTTGGAAAGTGATCTCACATGTTGTCAATAGTTTATGTCCAAATTGAGGCAGTTTAAGTATCCCAAGTCAGTATAATTCATTGAATTATTCCAGACCATAATTGCAACACTAGTTCTTTGACTCTTTTTCATGCCTTGTCATCATTTTTCATTTTGAAACAGATTAAAGAATTAGGGTATACACCTGCTACGAACTTTAATGACTGTAACATTTCATAAATACGTTCCACTTAGAAGTGTGATTATCAGTCTAAAAAATCAGTACAGAAAATCATTCTAAGTTAACTCTAAGTATTTTTCACAGTTATATTTCTTCAAAGCAGTAACACACTGATTATAACAACTCATTACATTTCAGTAAATAATATTAATCAAACAAGCTGTTCAATAATCAACTTATCCAAGTTTCAACAAATGGTGATTTTTTTGATTGAACAATTTGCGTATAAATGCCATGTCACTGTGAATTGATAAATCACCCAAATCAGCACGTTTAAACACTCTCGGATAATTAGGATAATATATATATGGAAAGAAATCTTGTCTTCTCTCCCTATCTTCTTCTGCTTCTGACTCAATTTCTTTTCTATATGGGGTGACATATTTTTCAGATACGATCTGGGAGACTGATGACGAAGGCACTCCAACTTGTGATGACGATGAAGACTCCGAAGGAGAGGAAAGTGATGGGTGCCGATAAGCATGATACTTCATCCCAACTGTATAACAAAAACTATACGTTATACAAATACTGATGATGAAAGAATAGAGGGTATGCTGACACATTCTTTGACAGGAAGTCATATTGGTCAACTTAAATTCCGAAAGGTGATAAATCCCAGTCAAATTTAAATTTGATGGTACCTGAGGGAAAAGTAGGAACTTTTGGAACTTTTGGATTAGACAAACCGGTAGATAGATATATAGATAGCTTTATACATAAATGAGATGAGAACCTGAAATATTTTTCTATATTTTCTGTAAGTAACATGATTGGTAGATATGTTTGAGTTGAATATAGGATTTTATTCAACTTTGATTGGCTTAAAGTGGTTTCGACATATTATACTTGTTTTGCACTTGACTGAATTCTGATGTTTTGATAATAAAGTAAAGCAATGGTATATACGCGAAAGATTATTTCTTCTTGACATGAAAGTTATGAGTCTTCTCATTCTGAAGGTAGTAGCTTGATGAATACCAAAGACTGAATAGCACTAGAAATAACTGCAGCTCAGCATTGAAGCCATGGCTCCAGTGACTACTAGTTTTATGAAAACAATAGATGCTCAATTCTGACGTGTTAGCCATCTCCATAAATGATGCACACTAATTAGATGCATAATAAGCTGTGCCTGAATATATATATTACTGATGAGAAGTAATGATTAGTCGTGCGAAATGAATGAAGTATACTTTAAGAACTAACTGCTTTAGAAAACTTCAAGATATGAACGATTTGCAAAGAAGTCATTAACTACTGATCATGTTGTTCAATCACTTTTCATAATACTAACTCCAATTGAAGATATTTCAGCAGTGAAATTATTATCAACTTTTATCGCCTTTTATTTCTTTCTGAGATTACTTCTTTCATCACAAACGGTCAGTAAAAATAAGTGGAGTATATGGACTTTGTTCACTTCTTTTGTAATATCTATCGGTGTTAATTTCTATGTAAAAGCTAAACTATTTCATTTTGATAGTTTATTGTGCATTGTTGACAAATATGTCACTTCCACATACAGTTGACTCAGATTGTGAATGTACAGTGACAAGAATATATTAGTACTTGTCTTCTGTTATGCAATGGAAGGGGAAGAAATTATAACAGTCAAACGTTTGAAAATGTATTCTCTTGTATTCAATTCAATGGGTAACTTGTAGACAAGTATGGTGATATTTAGAATATGAGGCGTGTAGAACTCCGGAATTATGAAACAGTGTCAAATTTATATATTGTGCACTTATCAGTTCCAATATATGATATCAAGACAAATCAGTTTTTTTCTTTAACAAATCGGCGATGAGAAATTTTGTTTGTTAAATAGGATTCATGTAATATCAGTTTTCTTGTTGTTACAACAGATGGTTTCAACGTTCTATCCTTCCCTCAGGCTCCTGTTATTAACAAAACTTTATGTCACACTGTTTACACCTTCAGATTTCGCATTGATTCTGGTGCAGTCATCAAAACTACATCATTTCCATAATTTCAGGTAATAAAAAGCTACTGCATCGTTGTTCATTTATACCAATGCGATAGTTCAGTGGAACTTGAAACGCTTAGGTGAATTTAAATCGGTCTAGAACAGTTGGAATTCAAAAGTATGTTTTACTGTGTCAGTGAGCTACATGTGTTATTCCAAGTATATTGTAAACAGTATTTTCAGTCTACATAGATGAATTCATTCAAAAACCACTGAAACTATAAATATATAATTTGCAGTACATTTTTAGCAGAAAATTCATCATACGGAGAATTTTCAAGCCAAATGTAGCAGTATGTACATAACTGTTCTTGGTCCTTTTTTAAGTGAGGCTTTTTTCACCTTTTGACACGAAACCATGTGTTTGCCATTTAGAAGCTGTAAGTTGATCATAGATCTTTATCACAGTTAACAAAATCGTTTATAAATCTAAGTTTTGAAACCTACTTAAGGATGACAGATAAAGATCATATGCGGATGTTAGTTGGTTGGAGGTAATTGGCAGGAAGCCCTGCTCGACCTAGGTTTCGAGCTTTTTGGCACTCGTCAACCTTGATGGAACTGATGTCCCGCCTGAGATTCGAACCCACGTCACCCAGTGTTGTAGTCAGCGACTTTACCACTGAGCTATTCGGGCCGCGTCTGACCTCCTGTAGGACTGGCTTACATGTACTGATTGGTCACGGGACTGCATCCAATTTCATGTTGTCTAGTTCTGAGTGCAGACCGAATCCTATTGATCATATTTTGCAATGTGGCAAGCCGTTATATGTATGCAGCTTTAAATTCTGATATATATTTCCTGCTGTACAGCCGTTATAGTCATTGACGGTTAGTGTACCTTTTTAACAAATTTACTGATAGATTAAACACCTCCTGTTATATTTGTAGAACTGAAAAGAGAGGAAAAAAGCAATCGTTTTCAGCAAAGGAATTTATGATGCATTTTAATTCAACTTTAGTGTAACTGATTTAAAACCTGTGAAATATTTTACAGATAGTAAATTGCAGAAAACTATTAGCTACCTGAAATTTTATTAATCTTACTAAGAATGTTAAAACATATTACTATATAAGTGATTATTGATACTAATTTCTTGGGTATCTGCAATTTGAGATTACTCAAACTAAATACATCCCAAAATGAAGTCAAAAGAATACTGACAATATTGGATGATTAGTCATTTTCTATCCTTTAATTAGCTGAATTAAAAACTTCTCAAATACTATATTTCCAGTTCATTAATTGAAGAGTAACATGTTCTTGATTATAGGTTGAATAAAATGCTTGAAATAATTCCTAGTGGGAGAAATTAACTGAAGCAATTATTTATTCTTACTCCCACAGTTGCTTAATTGATACACACACCTGACAAATTTGTAAAATTTACATTATGAAGCTATAATTCATATAAGTGAGTAGACAATACTATCTTTTATTTGTATCTTACCATTACTTACCTTTGATATCCTATACCCACCTAGTGAGCATTAAATTGGTCAGTCACAAGTGAACCTAGAAAAGACAGAGGTGATGAAGATACACAAACAACGCCACTAACAACAGCAACAACAAGCTCCAATCACCATCAACGAGAGAAACTTAAGGGAAGTAGTATTTTTTCGCCTATCCTGGGCAGCATCGTTTCAGACGACGAGGATGTAAAAGCAGCCAGGATCGGAAAGAAAGCAAGACTAGCCTTCCTTAATTATCCTGAAATCAGTCTGCAGATCTGCTGCAGTCAGCACAAAGCGTGAACAACATCCGGATTTTCAACACCAATGTCAACTCACTGCTTCCATATGGTTTACAGACTTGGCGTGCCATGAGAAGCATTTCCAACAAATCACAGACATTCATCAACAACTGCCCACGCTCGCTCGTTACTCAAGCTCAGATGGCTAGAATAATGAGAATAAGCAACAAGGAACTCTGGTGTGACAACGAACCAACCAACAACCCATTGCTCAACAAATACGCAGAAGTAGGTGGAGGTGGATTGGGTATACATTGAGAAGACCATTCGGTGACATGATGCGCCAGGTCAGGCCAGGCCATCGAGTTGAACCCGAAAGGGAAGCGACGAGTTTGGTGTCGCAGGTGAGGGTGACATGGAGGAGATGGTGTGAGAAAGAAATGAGAGTTTGTGAGCAGTCGTGGAGCCAAGTTTAAAAGATTGTAGAGAAGAGATTGAAATGGAGACGTGCTACTGAAGCTCTGTTTTTCACTAGGAACCCAAGAAGCAAATAATAATAGTAATAATTCATCTCAGGGAAATTAAGTAATTTTTGTTGGAAAAATACAAAACCTATTTAAGAAAGACTCATTTAATAATTTTTATGAGCACGGTGAAGAAACAATTTGTATTAATCACTTTTGAATGCAAGAGATGACGTTTTTTCACTAATCCTAGCAATTTCCACTAAATTAGAAAGATAACTGTAACTCGTCACTGGTAAGAAATGTCGATGGAGTATAGCAAATCGTCTGGAAAGCTTCAGTAGTTATATTTTGACCAGTTTGTTCAACTACCTTCCAGCTAATAATGAGACAACTCAGACTGATCATAATCGGTCAAACAGTTAGTGAGCTCCCATACAAATGATTCTATAAAGCTATCACATTGAAACTCAGCGAAAAAGATTTTCATTCCTTTAGTTAAAAAGAAAATTTCCTTTCCTCACTTGATGTGAAAGTAAAACATGAGCACTGTGATCGATTATAATTCCGTTTTAGTCTGTTTATTATAAATGTCACACAGTGAAACAGTATCATTTACTGGATACCGTTTCGGACACAATTTATTGGCTATATTCATATCCGGTAACTCCACAACTTCGAGACAGACTTTATATATTCCTAATTTTCTCTCCTTCCCTAAGATGACAAGGGTAGTAGAATTTTCCAAATATCTACGGCAGGTGCAGATTCATTTCTATTGCATGTATTTACTGTTGATTCAATAAACAAAGATTTGGTTATCAATCTCTCCCTCCACACAACGAGATTAGTTTTTAACGCTGTCGCTCTATCCCACCCTATTGCGAGATTTTCTATAATTGCTTTTAGAGCTACAGCCGAGCTTTTCTCTAAATTTCTTATTCCATTAGGACCTGCTAATCTTGATTTAGCTAAGTTTTTGTGCTATGTTATTCTAATTTACCCTGGTCGACTACTTTGACCTATGTATTTGACCTGGCAATCATTGCAAGGGATTTGGCAAACCAGATTACTTTACTTAACTACTGCATTGAAGTTAAGCACTTTCGCCTATGTTGAGCTTAGGACTCTAAATAAGAGATTGACAACCCACTTTGACTTATCGTTCATTGGTGATGTGCCATTGTTAATTTCATTATTTAATTTAATTTCTTTCATACGTTTGCTGAACTTCTTAATGAGAATTTTTGATTTCTTGAATGCGGCTGGTCTTGCTTTATTCCAGTTCCCCAACAGAAGCACATAATCTTTTTCACTAAATGTTTGTATCCGCTTACACTTAAGATCTTCGATAAAATTCCTGATGTTGTGCAACTTTTTGACTATTCTATGGATTTTTTCTTTAAGACAGAGTTTACTGACACCTATAACTGCCTTGACTTTGTCTGTTGGAATTGGTGCACGTAGATGTAGATATTTAGAAATGGTTTCATTTCTCAGACATCGAATACCGAATATACGGTGGCTTGTGTATCTGCCTCCTGTCTGTGAAGGTCGTATAAGTTTGTTGATTAGTCTTCGAACAGGAATATCATATGTTTCATCAATATGGGAGAAAAAATTGGGCACTGTGGTCGATTGTAATCCCATTTTACATGCATGCAATAGGAATGAATCTGCACCTGCCGTAGATATTTGGAAAATTCTACTACCCTTGTCATCTTAGGGAAGGAGAGAAAATTAGGAATATATAAAGTCTGTCTCGAAGTTGTGGAGTTACCGGATATGAATATAGCCAATAAATTGTGTCCGAAACGGTATCCAGTAAATGATACTGTTTCACTGTGTGACATTTATAATAAACAGACTAAAACGGAATTATAATCGATCACAGTGCTCATGTTTTACTTTCACATCAAGTGAGGAAAGGAAATTTTCTTTTTAACTAAAGGAATGAAAATCTTTTTCGCTGAGTTTCAATGTGTTAGCTTTATAGAATCATTTGTATGGGAGCTCACTAACTGTTAGACCGGAACTTCCTCACTTACTTTGTGATAATTTAAATATCTCCACAGGTTTCAATAAAACTCGATAGGTAAAACAGTAAAGCGTATATTTATCTTGATGAGTGAGAATAAATCTACTCATAGTTTCGTTTAGTTGGTCAGTCTACTCTATAAGGCTATGCAATAAACGTTCCAAATGAATTTTTATCCTAAATATTCTGCTTCTTTATGTCAAGCCACGTTTTGTGAAGGTACTGTTGAATCATACTTCAGAGGATGTGCTATGCTGTAAATGCAACTTTTGTTCCCAAAAAATTTATTTCGGGTCTTTGTAACTTGGCATTTCACCAAATTTGTTGTTTCTTAATCAATACTAAGAAGTTAGTGAAAGTAGGTATTTACAATTTTAACATACTGATTTACTAACCTAACTTCCCAGAGTGGATGTTGAGAGAATTTCATTCTTCCTTTTGTTAATTTCACAAAATCAATTGGCAAAGTAAGAACTCAATAGTTTTCGATGACAGTTTATCTCCGCCGCAAATTGGTCAGTAGAATAAATCATACACTGTCAGTGACAAACCTCTGTTTCACCTAATATATATTGTCTGAGTTTCTGGAGTTTCAAAAGACCTAATTTTTCAAAAAATGTACTCATCTATCCTGAAAATCTATCGACTTAGTTTGTAAACAACTCTCAGTACACTATACAGTAGGTGTGCAGAACTTACGTTATTTGAAATACTATGGTTGTGCAACACAGTAGCTTTGAAGAAAGTTGATTCTTTCACACCTAAAGATAAGACGAATCGAAAAGTAAACTGAAATAAGATAGATCCGTTTTCAGATGATTTTCATAAACCAACATCACCTTAGCAAAATGCTGAATATCTACGACCTATTTTATCTTTGTTTAAGAGCTCCTTGGCAGTACAAACTCACGGCCACACCATGGGTGAATCCCACGATCTTCAAGTCTCAAGGAGATCATGACATCACCAAACCAGTGAGAAGGAATCTAATGGTCAATACTTTCGTGTATCTTCTAATTTTGTGACGTAGAAAGACTATTATCGATTGTCACCAGTGACCATACTTTCACATCCAACTTGTTTCTTCCCACAAGTCCCAGCTTTTCACTGCATCTTCAGAAAGTTCATCTTAAAGCATTCCCTGAATAAGAATCGGAAGCCATCCAAGTAACGTTTTGCGGAGACTGGTTGGTCTGAAGCTAGCTTTTACCTCATGCATTGGGGTTAGTTAGAGAATAATCAATTCCTTGTGTGGTCACGGTTGCGTATTGCTAAGAAATCTCAAAACTAGTGCAAGACTGTTGTTCAGTATTTTCGGGTTCTAAGTAATTTTCTGGTTGACGTCAGTTTACCATAAAAAAAATCAGTCCTCACTAACGATCAATCGAGTTAGTTTTTCCCCTTCTAATTGTCTTTCGTACTGTTTTCAGTTTCATGTAAGAAAATAAGAGCAAGAAATTAAGTATTAAAGACAACCTGCTTGAACCTTGGGCTATTAAATTCATCCACCGAACAATTTTCGCCAAATTCTTTTATTTCAATTTGTTTTAATCATTTGAATATGTCCTCTAAACGTATCATGTACTCTTGCACATTCTTATACTGTTTTCAGCTATCCATTTCTTGAGTCAATAACAAATCAGAGGAAAAATGCTACGTTACACTAAAATGGACTTTCCAGTGCACGAAAGTACATCATATTTCTATCCATCAGATGTTTAGCTTGAGTTAAAGATTTTTATAGGATCTGAATAAACCACCACCACTAAAATTAAGCTTGCATTTCTGTTGATTCTTCGCTATGAACCGAACGCCCATCCAGAACCAGCTGGATGTTTCAAATTACCGCCTTGAATACTGTTATTGTTAACATCATTGCGATGCAATAACCATTTCTTCTGAAAGTATTGTTCTGGGAGTGAATTTTTTTAAATTACATGCTGAGAATCTCATACTGTCATACATATTGTTTGGAATAAAACTTTAGGAAGCCTAAAAACTCATCCTTTTTAAAATCTAGGTGGATTCAATGTAAACTATCTTTTCATGACATGTTACTAGGCAACACTTTTCAACCAGAGTTGAACACTGAAAAAGAGCTCAATTCAAAAGTAATATTCAATAAATGTTCCATTATCTTGCAGTTTATTGAAAAAGTTTATAAGTCAAAAGTCAGTAGGACAAGAAGATTCTTAAATAATTATATTCCTAATAAAAATAATTAACAATGACACAAATTATTGGTAATGTTTGAATCGATATTTGAATATGTATAAACATACACATGAATTAGTATAACTATCAACAAGCTAATTACTGTCGCCTAAGCTTCAGTTAGATCATCATTGTAATACAGATATAACTGTGGCATAAACAAGTCTTCAATATCTTGTGTTTCTTCTATGACATTATTCTCTTCAAGAGTTTTTTCCATGTCTAATACAACACCATTATACTTCCAGGTATATGAAGCAGCATGTGCATTGAATTTTAAATAACGTACAAGAATATCTGTCAATGTCTCTTCAACACATACCTGTAGAAATATTTTTTAAAGGAAAACACAGTCATAATATTTCATCAATATAATGGCAAAGCTATGTGAAATAATGATAAAATGTGAAGTGAATAGCTATTGTAATTATTACTCAACCCTTAACAATCATTTTGTAATGTGTCTTCAGGTACCTGAAAAGCTAAGTTACTTTATTCACTGCTGAACAGTCTATAAGAACTGGTTACTGCTAGAGTCTTCAAACTGTGATGATACTATCGAAACAACTCATTATCTCCATATAAACAAATCATACACTTGGTTCACATCTGATAATGTTTTGTAAAACAAAAGCAAAAATGATTTGCAGGATGTCAAAATGTTGAATTAAATGACCAGGATGCCTTGCTACAAGATTTTATGCTTGTTGGCGACCCAACAATAAGCTGGATCTATAATCTGGAATAGACCAAGACTGCAACCCATGCCGACCAGTAGTGCAGTCATTGGAATTACCCTTTATTGATTCAGATATTGATTGACGCCTTATAGTTCTGGATTAGTTACACTAATCGATCAATGGAGTGTAACCAACTTCAGTTGTCTAGTTTTAATGTCAGAACCTAAGTTTTATCATTTTCCAGTCTACCTTCTGAATATTTTCTTCAGTTCAAACTAGAGGAAAACTTTTCTGCTGCTGAGAAGTCTCTTGATAGGAAAGAACGTTTAGAAATGGTTTCCTTGGGGAAGAAGAACTTAGAAGAGCTAAACACCTTAATTTTAAAAAAGAAACAGATAATAGGATGAGGATTAATTAACTACAATAACTGAGAAATGTTTTCACAGCCAAGATCTGAATTCATTGTTTGAAAAATGGAAACTAGTCATAGTCAAAGACAATATACAATATGATAAAGTGTTTAAAAGAAATACCGAAGGTATATGAAAGGAGACAGAGAAAATGATGCATTAGAAAATTAAACGTTAGATAATTTAAAATTGTTACAATGTTCGATACATTTGCGTTAGTAATTTCACGTACTGTCTTGTAGACGCCTAATTTTATGTCTACAAAGTCTATCAGAGAACTATTTGGCAATCCATGAACTTGTACGACATCTTACCATGATTAGTTTAAGAAATGTTTTATGCTACTTCGTGGCCAATAAGGTAGAAAGTACGTATAAAATGCAGCATAACCTCTGAAGTACATGTAGCTCTACCCACTGAATAATTACCAGTTAGCATTGATGCAAGGATATGGATACATATAAACAGGTTTTGACAAGTAAAACGTCTGAAGTAAAAGGCTTTCAGCAGTTAACCTTCTTAATTTCACTACTGAATTTCAAGCTGAAAATGAGTCTTATCCTGTAATAAGTGAATGCTGTTTCACAACATATTGCCATACAGAAACCAAAGTTTTGAGTGGGTTTCAATATTTATTTATTTACCATCTGACTATCTGAGATAGCCGTAGTTTGTCAGATCAGCAGCATATACTGGGTGATGATTGAAGGCGAAGTGAAAATTTGAACCGCGGTAGAATTCGAACCAGCGACCACCACGTTACCGGTCCGATGCTCTACCAAGTAATTTTGTTAGATATGTCATCCAGTCAAACAGTAACATTTCGTGAGGAACACTCACAACTTATGGATCACAATAACATAATCAAGCTACTCCCTTACAATTCTGAGTATACTACTCAGTTTTAAGTACTAGAGTGATTACTAAAACCGATTTTTCATATCTCCCGATAACCATCGTCATTTTTTTTGCAATGAAGGATATTTTGCTGGAATGCTTATATCATGTTGTATGTATTTATTATCTGTCAAGTTCGAAGTATCATTATCTCCTTTCTTCTGTATGTAAACTCTTTTTAAGATATGCAGTGTGTTTGCCAAGGTAACTTTCCTTACTAACCAGGTCATCTAATACCGTCAAATATTTGTTCTTAATATTCTACAAATCTTAAGCAGTAAAACAACAGTTTTCCGAATCAAATCAAGCGGATAGTCAATAGATCAATCCGATAGCAATACAAAGACACTTTTTAGCTCTTACCTCCAAGCTGCAGAACATATTATCACACCAAAACACGAACCCCTACTATTATATTACTCCAATATCAGATTACTACCGTACATGGCTTTAAGCATTTGAATAACCTGAAAATGATTATCAACTCATAAACTTAAACTAAATTAGAGAATAACGAAAACAGCCAATATACAAATCGTAAATAATGAAGTTATGTATGTAGCCTCATAAACACTATTAGTCAGTTTGACACCACAGATAAGTAAGACCCAAACGTTTAGAAAATTTTATTGACCCCTTAAGAGATATCTGTAGACTTATTCTGAAAAATAAAAGCGTAGAATGTGTCATAGAATGTATCACTAGAGTGTGCTAAACTAAATCTAACGCCTACCATTTAGAAAAACATACCAAGTTGCGTTGACATGGCTAGTCTATAACTCTGGTATGTGTCAGAACTATTATCTTAGTCTACTGTTCATCAAGTCAACCGAATATACATGCTGAGAATCAACCAAAATTATTTTGTCTAGTCTTGATTACTGATTAAATTCCGTTGATAAAAATTTGACAGTGCTGCTATATGGCTTATTTAATTGACACTGTATTGGATTGTAACCATTATTCACATGATAACGAATTATAGACAAAGATTGTGGATGTCAAACATTTCAGTGATTCGCTTATCTCCCGAATTATATTCAGCTTCAAATGAAATCAAAACTATGAATTACTTGTAATTCTATTTAGTTCTTCATTTTACCTGGTAAGAATGTGACTGCCTCAATAAATTTATGAGACGAAATGTCTTATGATCACTGCAACTACAGATTTGTTGGATTCTTACGCACTCACTTGAAGAAAAAGTGGAAACTTGATTGCGGTGTGTTATCGAAGTTTGTCTGACGGTAAGTGAGTTAACCAGGAATCATGGGACTGTTATTGATACAACGTAATGGTTGAAGATAAAAGGAAAACCTACTTCATGGTAGAATCCAAATTAGCGACCTTCAGATTACCATCCTTGCTAGCTACCAGCTGAGCTCCAAAACCTGACTTCTGATCAGGTTTCAACTTTGCTTCAGTTACCATCGGTTTTGTCGGACTGCCAAGTGAATCTGTGATGCGTAACTATTGTTTCATTCTCACCACATTACTAACTTAACGAGAATTTCTCATCTCAATTCAAATCAAACTGAACTATATAGTAGTAGAGTAGTATTGTTGATGAGATTGTCGTAAGCAGTCGCTTCTCAACAGACTGGTATTATTGATAAAAGCTGATAACTGAAGGGAAAATTATTCTAAGCCAACCTAATATATGTTAATTCTTTCAGGAGGTGATTTAATCACAAGTGACTAGTTCTGTAGTGTTTCTAAGCAATCCGGAAACGATATCATTTCGCTGAACACATTATTGTTTTCATCCGTTAGTTAGGTCTTTTACAGTTTTATTCCTCAGGTGGAGAGAGATTTTTAGTCAGGAATTCTAAGCGGCTCAGAACTTTCCGTCTATTATATTTCATTTATTTTTGTAGGGGCTCCCTGGAGTAAGGTGAGAAGAAAACGTACGTAGCTCTTGAACATCATAAATTGGTAGCTGTTGAGCTGGACTAATGATCCACAACCTTAGTGGTTCGATAGCTGTTGAGATCCCGGTTTTCGCTACACTTTAATCGTCTGTTTGTTTCTAAATACAAGTGTGCCAACTCAAACTGTTTGATCAAAAATATTATAACTTCAATCCTCTTTCAGATCACTACAATGTTATTCCCAGTAACGATAGATAGTAAGGCATTTAAATCTGCTAGGATCAAACTTGAAATATGATGTCATATCATTCATCAATGAAATAATCACTGGACTTTATAGCTTCTAGAATACTTTATTAATCTGAACACAATTTTATTTAACTAAGAAGTCAGGGAGAAGCATGAAATATTGGAATAATAGTACTTCATTCTTATTTATGAATCAAACCTATACCTATTTCGTCGGTCTTGTAATGGAAATCAAAGTGCCTGAAACTCTTTTCCAATACATTACTATCTAGTCAGTTACAATGATTTTCAGGTTTACAGCTTTACCACAGCAAATACTGGCTTACGAAATACACTTTTTATCATACAAAGTATTCTATCAATTGACAGTAGCAAAATGAAAACAAACCTCAATTTCATGTTCATGTAGTGCAAGTGTATTGACAATGCATACAAATCTTGTCTTTTTGGTCAAATAACCAATTGCCAACCTTTCATCTTTCCACCAAGGTACGCCAAAATCAGTAGCCCAATCTGTTGTTGGATATGGAGGAGGAATATTTATAAACCGACCAAATGGTGTATACGGTACATAACAATTTGTAACTGGATCAACATGATGTCGAACTTCACCTGTCTTGGCATCAAACCAATGTGATATATCTCTACCGGCTTGAGCTAAGATTGGTTGAAGAAGAACGCTACCTAGAAATATTCGTAAAGTATGAGAAAGTTTATTTGTTATGACTTACTCAAACAGAAGCATTGCTGGTCATAAAATAGGAATATACTTAGAAATATAATGTATAAAACTGAAATGGAGCTCAGTTCATAACAATATTAAAATTTGTGAGCAAAGCCTGATTACTTAAGTCCATATTACTATTAGAAGTACTAGTGAAATAACTGATTATTAAATGAGTTGTGATGATTCTAAAATAGTCCATTACACTTTTGGGTTCATACCTTAACAAAGCTATAAATCTAATGCTGTTGCTTGTATCATTGTATTCATCATGACTCAGTGGTCTAGTGGATAACAATCTGCTGTTTGAAGCGATAAGTTCCGAGTTCGAGTCCTAGGAGGAACAACACCGCTCACTGGGAAGTGGATACATCCGGCTGATGAGTCCCGGCTAAGGTGAAATGCACGTTTTGGATTCCATTACTTAGCCAATATTCATCAATAATCTAACAAACATCAGTACGAAAAAATAATAAGAACACTCAATAACTTGTCAACATTAAGAATTATGGTTTAAACGAACTACAGCATTTAGTACAGTCAACGTTGTCAATATAAAATAGTTAAATGCTCCATTTCCACATAAATATACATATTGAATATTAATCGTAACTGAAACTTATTTGATACTTGAATATTGAGACTCATGGTTTATAATCAGTTTTACGTGCACATAAACATTTATCCATCTACATGTTTTTTCTTATCTATAAGAAAAAAAATCCTTTTTTTACTACTTTCTTTCCTAATAATCTTACTCGTGTTTCAATTAATATTGGAGCTTCCTTCTTCCAATACTGCACGCATAACAAAATACTGACTCAGCAAATTATTCCAGTTACTCAAGAGATTGAAAATTGACCTTATAACACATTAATTTTTTTAAAATGTTGAAACTTTTAACCATAATATTTCATTTCGCCACTCCACTTAACGAGTTGATGATAATGAGTTGCGGTCATTTTCATAATCCAGAATATGTTTACTAAAATCCGGTCAACAAATTAATTTACATGGTTATTTCCGCATGATTAATCCTATGAGTGGATTTTTGGCATGAAGTTCTGAAAATGTTACAGTTTTTCATCATATGATAATTTAACTGGTGGTCGTAAGCAGTGGAATCCAGGAAGTGCATTTCGTCCTGTTTGGGATCCATCAGCTGGATCTATTTGCTTCCCAGTGAATGATAGGGTTCTCACGGATGCCTCAGTGGTCTAGTAGAGGACTTTGACATCTGAACTGATGGTTATGAAATTGAATTCCAGTGGGAATATCATCACTGCCTGCATTCAGGCACATCAAGCAAACAAGTTCCAAATAGGACGAATCGCGTGTCCTGGATTTCACTGCTAACCACAATTAAGTAAATCATAACAATAAATATTCAGGCAATATCGTGGCATCCGCATAGGAGCCCATAAGCCAACAGAGGTCGATCATTTCGACCCAGTATAATAACAGGGAATTACAAGCAACAATAAATAATTTACTGCTCTTCTCTAGCCATAATATTACTGACCACTAATAATTGTTTGTGATATTTTGTGGTTTATTCATCTCACAAACTTAAAATTTCGACTGAAATATCTCATATTACACAACTTTGAAACGATCAGAAAAACAGTCTAGTAGACATCCGGTTCGACTTGTAAGGTTCTGCTGCTAACAGCAACAAAAACCAAACATTCAGATTATTTAATGCCAACATTATTTGTGTCAGTACCTTACACTGTGTGGATCACGTCAAGGATAAGTTTTATTCACTAGTTTCAAAATAGGACAAAAAAATCACCACTTATTATTCTCTATACATTTACTTTGCATGTCTTTTACAACAATCAGTAACTTAGGCTGTAATATACTTGTTTACAGGTTTCACATCCCAGATGAAAAGAAAAAGATTTAACAGCGAATCAAATACTATATTAACACTGTAAGTCTTCATGATTTTATGAAGTAATTACTGAAGAAAGCCTCTAGTCTAGTTTAGAAATCTTCATAATGAAACTATTAAGATTACTGAATAATAAAGAACAATTATCATCCTCATTCTGGCCTACAAATTTTATTTATTGTCAAAACGCTTCATAAATACGAATGAAGATAGACTGCAACAAAGAGATTGTTATAAAATAAATCTGAGAATATCTGAAATATAACTTAAGTTGAAACTGTTGTTTAGCTGAACAGTAAGGTTACAATATTGTTTGTGAAATAAAATGTGAGGCGTAACTTCAACTAAATCATGTTTAGTAATGAGACGACTTTTTATTCCTTGTCTGATTAGATTTGTATGTAAATAAAAATAAGAATTCCAGAGGTGTGAATACGACTACTTAATAAGTAAACTTTTCATAGTATTAGTGCTTTCCGAGCTTGTTTTTCAGAGATAAAGCATAACTCATCACTTATGAGGACATACGGCAAGACTGAAAACGTACTCGGCGAAAAGCATGTGAAGTATTATAGCATAGATAAACTGAAAACAATACCAAAGATAATTGAATATGTGTAGTTTATAACATCATGTTGACTATATATGCTAAAGAGTTCCTTAGATATCAAAATTGTCTTTGAATTGGTACTCATTACACACTAGCATCAATTAGAGAACCACTGAAAACATGGAAGCCAACTGAGAAGTACTAAATAATAAAAACTACATTGAAATCAATCAATCCCCACAAACCACAATTTGAGTTGCATAATTTGTAAAATTATTTTGGTACGCTTACAGATAAATTTCATTGTCAGACAAAAAAATGCTGAATATGTGATTTTAAAATTGTTTGAAAGCCTGACCTGATATTATACGGATACATCAAAGTGGAACCAGATAAAAAGATACATCAGTTCATGTTACTGCATTCCAAAACAGCACATGAGGAAAACATAGACTAAAATGTCGTTAAAACAAAGAAATGTGTATTAGAAGAGAGGGTGGATAAATAAAAGCGAGTGGAATTGTTCAAAATTTTGATGGCAAAAAGTGTTTATATCTGAGCCATTTCTTCCGGTTTTCAACTATATCACCAAAAGTCTCCAACCACTGGCTCCCAGTGTAGTAGGCACAGCTGACTAGGATCGATATAAGTAGTACATGTTGAGATGGCAGCAGAAATCATTGGGAATTACCAGCAATGGATAAAGATTCTGCCCGGAGAAACGCAAGTGACAATGTGGGCATATATATATATATATATATATATATATATATATATATATATATATATATATATACCATTTAATCAACCTAAGTCTGGGGGATCAGGTAATATTAGTAGTCCGTACACAATAAACATGTCTGATAACCCGAAAAGAAATTTCACAAATAACTGCTGGTTAAATCCGTTTTGTTTACGGCAAACACGCCAAATTTGTTTGCAGAGTTACTAAAATCGGCCATGATTTGTTAATTCATAGACAGTGATGATCTAAGAGTGAACCACTATGAGTTAAAGGACAAATAATTCACATTTAATTGAAATATGTATGGATAATACTATCGTTTAAACACTTTTGGTTTCGGGGTCAAATTCGCAATCGCCGCTAACAGAATGATACCTGTAGAAAAAGTTCAATTAATCTAATTTTCAGCACCAGTAGTTTAGGGTTACTAATATAAATTGCAGAAAATGTATTGGATTAGCCAAGAAATCAGCTTTAACTTCTTTTAAAGTTCTTTATTAGGTGAATAGTGCTTAAAATAGAAAGTATAAGAGTGCTACATACGGCTATATTGCCAAGTTTAACAAAAAAACATGTCAGGGAAGAGGCAGTATGAAATTTTAAGAAGCATCTTTCAAAATGATTTCATTCCCGTTCTTCATCTCTCAGCAATCTATTATGATTTTTATTGATTTCTGTCGAAAAATTCAATCCGTATTACTTGATGTCACAGTAGAAGATGTTACAGAAAAGCTCTTCCGGTCAGAAATATAGTGTCTTCTGACTCGAAATCTCAAAACATCATGATTGCATTTCATTTTTCAACTGTCAGATTTCACTCAATACTAGTAACTAGTACTTAATCCTGATTACAGCCGGATCATCAAGTCGTGATGTCGTTTAAGATCACGAATTTGCAAGTGACTTACGTATTTCACATTCCACGTTGTCATTTCCTAAATTTGAATATTTTTTTAACTGCTAAACTGTAGTTTCAAAAGGGTTTTCGCTGGAAGCCAACCAACCAATATTACAAGGTGCGATAAGTGACACAAAAGTGTTATCAGCTAGCGTAACTTACTGCTGAAAAACTCTAGTAGTTAGAAACCACTCGGGCTGATCTGTAAATTTTGCCAGCTAGATCAGAGCGACTTGAATACTACACGACCGTTTTGCTCATTTAACGTTGGGCTCACCAGCTGAGATCTACAGACCAACCTGTGCAGTTTTCAACTACTCAAGTTATTCTGTAATAGCATCTTACCCTAGTTTGTGAAACTTTCGTCAGAGATTACCCGTTGTAAAATCGGTTGGATGGCTTCCAACGAAAACCTTGCTGAGACCAAAGTTTGGCAACTGGAAAACTACTCAGCTCTGAGAAGTAGCAACGTGAACCGTACATTTTGTAACTTATTTGTTAATTGATCTTCCTATTTTAGTTAAACCAGTCCACTCAAGACAGATGGCCAAGTTAAGGTGATCTGAAATAACTTGGGTCTATAGGGTGAATTTATGCAGGTACACTATTGATAAGCTCAGCCACAAATAAGAGAAACAGCCGTCCGATGTTTAGATCACTCTGATCTGCCTAGCGAAATCTACAGATCAATCTCAGTGGTTTTTAACTACTCAAGTTGTTCAGTAGCATATTACGAAAGTGATGTCTATCACAATGACAACACATATATATCTATGAACAGTGTGTGTTGGTGGAAAAGAATGTGATTTGTGGCTCATCTGTATCAACCAACGTTCACAAAAGAAGAGAATGGAGAAGACAGTCAGACAGAGGACAAAGTCTTCACTAGAATTAAGTCGTGGATGACTACGTAGAGCATAATGAACCCTAAATCAAACCTCATAAAACTTGTGGCGTATCACATATTACAAACCTGTTATGATGACTGAATCATGATTCCCGTGGTCCCATTGAGCGACTACATTTTGTGTAATCGAATAACATATCTTGTCAGCTCAGAATGCTCAAATTAGTCCTCCTGCCTTATGATTTGATATAATGCCGCTCAGTCTGAATGTATGCATATCATTACTGGTTGCCGTTACTCAATATGATAACTTTTAGTAAGCTAGTTCATGGCTGCATGAATTCGATGTGAAATGAAATTCAACAGCATGCTGAAGAAAGTAATATGTAAAACGCGAAAACGAAGAAAAGTTAACTTAATGCTTTCAAAGAAAGAGAGTGTTCAGGGAAATCAATGTGAGTTTCCAGTAATTACACTTGAAAGAGAAGTTATTTGTGTTTTTATCTGTCTATCTGTCGCATGAATCCAACTCACGTAAACTGTATGGTAACCGAATTAAGGCAGTAATAATTATCCCAAGGAATAATAGCATCCGCCAGCTGTAACATCTGGTAAGTGAAAATTGTTAAGAAATCTTATCGAAGAAAAGATTATCTAAATACACACTGCAAATCTTTTAGTAGTGACTAGTAAATAAATAAGTCCTGTCCTATACGGCAAAATTTACATAATTTCTTATATCAACAATTTTCATGATTGAATAATGATATTAAGACTGCAAACACATTTTTAATTGCATTTTAGTGAAGAGATCAGCAGCGAAGATATGATTCTAGTAGCAGAAGTAGCTCTTTGGAATTAGTTTTCTGCATGCTTCAAAACTGTGCACCAGTATGAACAAACTCTGAGTTTGTAAAAGTATAAAATCAGAACATCAGAAGTGAAGAGAAGAAGTAGTTTACTAGCAAAATTTACTAGAATCCTGAAGATTAATTTCGAACTTGATATTAATAGTAATCGATCATTTCCCACCCGCACGATTTAATCCAAATAGTCTGCAGTTACTTTGGGTTTAAAGGAATAATCCAATGACATCGTGGACTGATTCGGCACCTTGGTTAACTACCACTAATTGTTTTGGGAACTTTTATGGAAGTTTGATCGGACACTTTGTTAAATACTGAAAGCAAGTGAAAAGTTAGCATAAGTCTTGAGATATATTTGTACATTTCTCGGATGTCCTACACGAGTTTGATACGATACATATACCACCTATGACAATGTAACACTGATTAGATTCCTGACAAAATCACTGGAATTATTTGTTTTGAACGCACAAAGGTTTGTTGATATCCCCATACTATTCCATAAGTTTTATCTCAATCCTGTTTCATCTTAACCATAACCACACTTTTAGACGACAGTGGTTCGGCATGGGTATTACATGTGCCAGTTACCATGGGTTTAATTTAAAAATTTCATCGAATGACCAGCTTCCACTGCATGAAACTCTGAGTTTGTCATAAAGTAGCCTATCCGTTGGTTCTGGTAGACAACAATAGCGCCTGACTGGCAATCATGACTAAATGTATATGAACTGCTATAATATTCCGCCTCCCGCCGTCAATTTTCATGACTCATAAATAGAGCGAGAGTAACAGTTAGACATTATACTCTTGTAGCATCACATTGTGATCAAAAGCATTAGCTCGTTCCTCTTAGACTTCCTTCTTAAAGAGAAGAGGGATGTCATTTGATTCTATCGCTGAATAGAGATCAGCGTGCATATACTTTTAGTTCTGATCATACGCCTTCAGAATAGTGCTTGGTCCTCATTATACAGAATGTTCAGCTTGCGGACACTCCGAATATCACGGAGTGGGCTGTTATATACGATTTAAACTACGCTTAGTTCGCATTTACAGTGGATACTAGAAATAAGTCAGAAATAATTTAGGTGAACTAACTTCACCGTTTATTCCATTTTCAACTCCATGCAATAGTGGCACCGTAATTATTGATGTATAATGAGTACCTTAAAACTTTTCTATACAATAGAACGATGACGAAACTTGTTTTCTATATTTTAAGGAAAATATTTAAAACCACACGCATTACAAAATTAAAAGTGTGAATAAATTTTGATCGTTTGCTCTTCTATAGCAAATAGAATATAACTTGGTTATGACTGTCACGCGTACCCTAAAAGTCTAATCACATATATCACTAGTGAAACAAATTGTTGAGAGGTATTCCTATACCATCTGTTAAGTGGGGCCCTGCAGTTGGGCACCGCTCATTCTGAAGCCTTGCAAAATCTATGTATGACCTTACCCAGAGGTTCACAACGTCTTTGCACCACCACAACTTTTGAAGAGACACGAACCCCTCGGGGGAATTTCAGAGTTGGAACATGAATGTTGCAGAAAACATACGAGCACCGGCTGTGGATCTAGGCCTTTGCCTTCTTAGTTACCGTAGATTATGCGGTCGTCTGATAACGACCTAAAAGGTACCAATTAATCAAAGTCGTCCAAATGCGGAAGTATTACTCAGTGGCTGTTTTGGTTACCATCGTGGACGCCCAAAGAGGATTTTGGTCGTCAGAGGGCAAGTACCTGTGTTTATTTATACTTGTCCGCTCTCCAAGTCTGTGACCACTAAAACGCTATACCTGCTGAGGTAGCCACCGCTTCTTCTCTTAACAGCTTCAAGAAAACGTTGTTATTTGTATTATCCCGTCGTTGAGTGGAATGAATAGACCTATCTCTATTGGCAAGTGGGCTACAGCGCGGATGCCTCGATATTACCTGTGTTTGGATGATATGTTACTGATGGACATTAGTTAGCAGTAGAATCCAGGACGCACATTCCGTCCTATTTGGGACTCTTCAGCTGGATGTACCTGCCTCCCAGTTAGCAATAGCTACTATGACTTGGTGGTCTAGTGGCAAACGCTATCGCCTGTGAAGCAATCGGTGCCGAGTTTGAGTCCTGGTGGGAATCAAACCGCTCACTGACAGCCAGGTACATACAGCTGACAAGTCCAAAATGGAACCAGATGTGTTTCCTGGATCCACTGCTAGCTAGTACCCATCATTAATATTAGTTTCAAGAAAGGCTTGAACAGCTAAGCAGTCACACTTGGATTGAGCTCATCCAACTGGGATGGGGGATCAGTCGAAATAACCAACTTGTATGGGATCAATCCAACACTCTTTTGCTTCTCTGTAGATCCTCCTCCATTGTTACTACTATTGTGAATTCGACTCAACTTTGTGCCTCACTATTTGAAGTATTAAATCTCCAGACACAATGTAACTACTAATACATCATAACTGTAAGTGTAAAACCAGGACACCGTGGTAGAATGCGATTCCGAATACAATATGGAATATCGTAATGACTCATATTTACACTGACCCTACTTCTACTACTACTACTTATACTTTCAGTGCTTCTTTCCCTATCTCCTACTCTTCACAATTGAAGCCTTTTCAATTAGGTTCTCAGCGTTTCCCGTTTCCCCTGAAATTACTTAAATGCTTTTCATAATTTACTGTCCTTATTCTCATTTTCCCTCATTTACCCCATTTCGTTTTTCGCGATTGTATTTTCATTTCCCTTACCTTCTTTTATGACCAGTTCGAACAACTGCCTGGGAACACGACATATGAGGAGGTCATCTTCATGACATTCTCAGGACCAATCATAAGCCTGCATACAAATTTAACCAACACCAAACTACCCATTGGGTTTACCATAGCAACAGTAGGTAAGTGGCTGGATCTACTGCTTTAAAATCCAGTAAATATATGAAACCATTCCGCAAGACCTGAACGCGAGTGAGAAGAAATCAACTGGATTGTACAAGTCCGTAAAATATATATTGCATAATGACGCAACTTTTAGTGACAGTTGTGTGAGCAAATACGATGGCATTAAAAAAAAGCAGGACGATTCGGTAGGCTTTCATTCTATTCTTGTATTCCCATACTAACTAGGTACGAAGTTGGTAAATAGAAAAAATCCATGTATTGTTAAGCCTTATTGGCAGTCAACAGGAAACAGCCTTAGCCAAAGCAGCAGAAAAAACAACATGCAGCTATCACTCTTCTTTATTCAACCACATTTCGACGCATTATTGAAATGTGAACTTCATTCATCACAGCAATAACTATTTATTCTAAATTATACTGAAAACATGTTTATACATTTTCAAACTACAGCATCCTTTTTTACAAGCTTGTGATATCAAGTTGATTTTTAAGCTTTTGCTCCTTAGCCTTGTTGAACACTTCCAGGTCCCTGAAGGTATTCTATGGAGTAGATAAACCCCTCATTTACTTTAGTTCTTGTGGACCCGATGGGTGGTTCGGTGTTGATGAAATTTAAAGGAGCGTGTGTGAATTTTCCTGGGATTGTCATACGGATAGGTACCTGAGTGTCATTTCACGAGACAGCTGTTTGAATTAGTCGTAAGTGAAATGTAATGAAAATGAAAGGATTGTTTTTATAGAAAATATGAATAATCATGAAGAGTTACTGACCTTTGTTTTTAGCACATACTAGTGTGATATCAAAAACTCGGCCAAGAAACGAAACCCAGCAGTCCTCGGGTGAATTATGTAATAAAATATCATTTGGTGTAAAGTAACGTTTTTCATTTCCCACTTTTACCATTTCTATAGTTATGCTCAGTGGAATAAGTTTAAACACACAGAAACTATCACACAATTTAGTATTGTGAGGCGAAATACTGTCCGCTGATCTGGTTCAAAAATTCTGTTGGTTGATTTCATGTCGTTTTTTAACATCCAACATCAATAATGTGAGTGGAGGAAACTTGTAGGTCTTGAGGCTCCTCTCTTTTTGTCCGGTTATACTCCTTTGGTGGTTGCAGAAGGCTTTATATTTTTCCTGCCAATAGCTTCGAACAAAGTGGTTATTATAAGAGTAGTTACAGAGAAGGACTATATCTTTTTGCAGATAGTAGGGTTATGGAGTAATTAGATAGGTGAGCACATCTTCGATCGCTGCAGGCGAGTGTTCGTGGTAACCCGTTTGAGCTCACGTAATTATCTAGCAGTCACTTGAAGTAGTTAACTACCGTAGCTGTGACTTCTTCCACAGAGCCGTCCATAAGGCACACGCTCAGTGTGAGAAACTAGATTTCACTCTCGAAATTTCCCCATGAAGGTGTATGTGAGAGCAGCTCTCATGGGACTGTCGGTTTCCAACCGACAACTTTGTCTTGTTGGGATCCACCACCTGGCAGATGCTCCTGTAACTTGTTATTAGTCCACCTCTTTTCCTTCGATACCTTAAGGTGAACAGGTTGAATTGTCCAAAGCATTTGCGCATGCGTTTTGCCTGCCTGTCTGACAACTGATAATGTCCACCCTCTCTGTGCCATCTAGGGACTAATGTCATCTCCCCTGAGTAAAGAAGGGCCAACGTGTTGAGCACCTTCCGATATGGCCAAACTTAAGTTTCAACCGCAATGGTTCAGGAGCTATGGCTCCAAGCCGGCTTCTTAGGGAGTGCATGTTGGCATTCCCCTTCCCCGACACTCATCCCAAGATATCGCTGGTACCAAGTGGGTCAGAGAACAATGGTTCCAGACCCATCGTGTGAGTGCCTTTGCAGTGCACCTTCGTGGTACCAAAATAAATAGGTTAAATTAAATCGGCTAAACGAACCTCTAGCTCGCCTCCGGATGCTTTAAGTGCTTTAAGTTCTGCTTAAACGAGCATGTGATCCAAGCAAGCTTTGACTCCATTTTGTGCTCCCGTTGTTCCGGTTAGCACGCACGTACTCAGCGTCTTTAGTTCGGCCACACTAGCTTGATAAGTTGAGTACACTCTTCCCCTATTCATCACCACCACATTTATTCTGATTAAATATATTGCTTCGTAGAACGTATTCCTGGAACCAGTTCTTTTGATTTGCGTTTCGTTATCGGTACTTACAATTTGGGAGGATAATGCTTAAGCAAGTGCTGGAGCCCATCACATTAAGTAGGGTTGGTCAAACGTTGCGTATTGGTGATGCAACGAACGCCATCCACACCCTTGTGTTTACGCCCCGTCAAAAAAGAAGTTAGTCTTCATCGCTTTAAGTGTGCGAAGACACGTCGTATTGCAATCCCCCTGTTTAAAGCTTGAACCACTGGAGCTGGTCAGGACTCCAGCTGCACCATATCCTTTCGGAGAAACCTTGGATCCTCTTTCCTATCTGTTGGTAAACAGGATGATAAACGAGGAGATTTGATTGGGCAGTTCATTGATAGATAGTAAAAATAGTTGTGGCTGAAGGATTGCTCTTTGGGAAGTCCCTGTTCCTGAACTCCTCCAGCTGACTAAACTCTGTTTACATCGGGTCTCCCCTGTCCTCTTGACATGATGCAAGCCATCTGGAGTAATTAAACAGTACCCTTCTTTGCATGTCTAGAGAGCATGGTGCATTGCCAGACGCCATCGAACGCTCTAACCAAACCCAGAAAGATAAAGTGGTCTGGTCGCCTGATGTCCTGTCCAGTGGTTCACTGATCTTGAGCAGTTGTCAGGTGTATGACTCGTAACCACCCCGTTCTGAAGACTTGCTGGGTTGGAGTCACGATGCTGTTTCTAATTAGGCATTCTCAAACAACCTCTGCAACCAGTGCCTTAGATTTTTTGGAAAGTAATCCCATCGCTTTGACGTCAAATGTGCTTTTTTGCATGCCTAAAGTATTCACGTTAGTCGATGTGAACTCTGCATAGAAATTCACCGCTATGAGGCAACGGTCCTCTCAATATTTATTCATTTGCGCCACAACAACTAATTCTGATGACTTACGGCCATTCGCTCGTGCACCACGGTCGTCACATGCCTTTACACTGTACTTGGTCTCCTGGCGAATAATCCCCGGATTCCGTTCACTTTCGAGGGCGACCCAAAGATTTCGCACCCCCAAAACATGTTGTAAGCATTTTTCTGCATTTTCGCACGCTGTTTACAGCCAGAGGGGACCAGGTGGAGCTAGTCAGTCGTTCAGAAGCAACACGCTGCGGTGAATGCATGATCCTACCGACTACTGTATCAAATAGCTGCATCTGACACATGTGTTCACTGTTTACTTCCAAGATGTTTCATGACAGGATCTTCGTGTAACTCCTCAAGGACGTTCATTGCAGATTGCAAGATTGCAAAACAATCGCTCGTGGACTGAGGCAGTGAAACCTTAAAAATTACGGATGAAATAATGAAACTCCAACTTAACTGCAGGCTTGCAGAATTCTACATGAACAAGCGTGGCGTAAACAGACAATCAGGAATAAAGGAGTGAGGAAGTTATTTGCATGCATATATAGACGTATCCACCTGGAATGTGCCATATCTCCGTTATATTTATAGCCCAAGGTTCCGCATGTATATCCTAATCAGACATACAATATTCGTCGCACTTTCAAAATACCTTTACGGGGGGATATTCGAAGGCGTATTCAAGGATAGTGGTGACAACTGAAGGTCATAATTTTGCTGCTGAGGCGTGGAATCAGTTCTGCTTATGGTAATTTTGTCCACGGGATGTAAAGGGAAGGGTATGTGCATCCGTCAGTCAGGGGATGGCATTTTAAGCATTCGCGAGACCTGTTATACTGAGCATTGTGGAAAATAAATGTTGTTTGCCCTCCATGTTTGGCAGTTTGCGGATGGATGGGAGTCCCTCCAGCGGGTGAAGTGGGTAACTGAGTCGGATGATTCAATGTCCACGGGAAGATGGCACCAAATTTTAGAGTATTTGATGGACAAAATGTTAGTCCGAAGGGATATTCTAAAAGCTTTCATTTCAACACTGTAGGCTTGGCTGCACAGAATGCAGAAGGTTTCTAGCGCGAAATGGATTTCCTCACCAGTCAAAAAGAACATTAAATGTAAACTTTCGAAGAAAAATATAAGTTCAGTTTCTGGGTGTCCTGTCCAAACTGGTTTTAGATTACTGGAAAAACATCCGGATGCATGAGTTTGACCATAATCGTAACCAGGAAGCCCAAATAACCTACGCAAGTAACCTTTACAAATATATAACCCATATAAACTGTGTCATACAGCACGTGCTTAGTGTGCAGAAGAAATGTCAAATTTCAAATTCATTGCATTGCATGAAAACCGCTTTAACTTTCGTGGGAAACCAGATACTTGCATTCGTCTAGGTCAGCTGTGGTGAGTGAACCCACAAATTAAGATGCATAGCATGAAAGATCGATCTAAACCCACTGTTTTCTACGGATTTCTGAAACAAGAATAAATAAATAAATGTTTTATTCTCGTGTCAAAAAAAAGGATTTTAACATGAGAGAAGCCAGTTTACAGGCTTCATCACGTTGATACATCTCAAAATGTCTACAAAACTTGAGCCCTTAGTGTTACTGATGGAATGTCATTAAGCTCAATTTAAAAATACTGCCGAAGGTCCTGCTAGTTATGAAATGAACAAGGAAATATTACTTTACAGCGTACATAGGGCATTAAAATTTAGATAACAGTAAATGTCGCCTTCATTTAACAGGCTTAACATGAGGGATACCAGCTTACAAGCACCGTCAAATTCATAACCTTTGAAAGTATCTAGTATTAAATAATTTACATATCAAGTCATTAGTGTGCATAATCTTATTGAAATTTGCTGAAATTCATGAGACGGATATGGATTGCCATCTCCCATCACATAGATAAGTTCCATTATCAATATCAAAAGCGCGCAGTGTTCAAAGTTTGCGCTGTAACCAACCGACGTTGTTAGTCCATTCGCATAGTTTGCTGATTAGTAATATAATAGTTTGTTACTTAGGATGATCTTCAGTTTTTAGTTTGCTAACCACAAAGGACCCATTTATACAATCTGGAGTATCGGTAAAGTATCCACAGTTATATAACCAACGTGTATGGCTATATCAATGCATATCCAGGTTGCCATGTTACGTTTAAAGGTGATATAGATTGATTCTGCTGGGAATGCTTGTTGTATTGGATGAAAATAGGTGTTGAAACAGTCAATAGTCCATGGACTTCGAGCACCTTTTGTATTAGCATGGGCGGCATCATTCGAGAAGTGTATTTGATGTGTAGTGAGTTCCATATGAAAAGGTCTCTTGGTACAGAGTACTAGAAAATGTCTAGTGTGGAGCCATTGCAGGTAGGTGACGTCCTGAGCCAATATTTTAATTGGTCTCTGGTTTAATCAAGAAGCGGTGCAGAGTTTACATGCGATTGACATTTTATGAAATAAAAGACCCTAGTTGCTATCGCGGCGTAGGTTTTACCGTCTGCGCAGTTCTTCAGGTCTGAACCTACTGGAAAGCTTACGACAGTGATACGTTAGCCAGTTCTTTACGATACTTAAAATAAAATAAAAAACACCCGGTAGTCCACTGGAATAAAGTCGGCAAGTTGACTAATGAAGGAAATTACATTTTACGGGGGTTTGTCACTTTCCTTCGAAATAATTCAAAGAAAATATTAGGTGATAGTGCTCGCAACAAGTTCTCGGCACCACCCACAAACCTAAAGAAAAAGAAGACAACAGGATAATTAACCAACATTAATCATTGATTATGGCATCTACAGTAGTTGAATAAGTCTTGCTGTTGCTACTTGTGACAGAGGCAACAATATCAACCAACCTGCAAGACTTATAGGTAAAATAAGGAGGTAACAAGAGGAGCAGTGCCGGTAATTTTAACATGAATCTTTTGGAATGACGATCGGCTGGTTACTAGCATCCG